CGAGTAAAAACAAACCGGCGCCCCCCCCCCCCCTTTTTTTTTATGGAAGAATGCAACGCTTTTCCACGGAACAAACGAAATTATGTATCACAAACCAGCTTTACATCTGCCCTTGAAACTTTACATATATGATGCTAATCGCTTATGTATTTTTTATGTGCACCAAGCTGGTACCGATTTTTTTTCCCGGAGCGAGGAAGGGGGAGGGGTAGTGTTGTTCTTTAGGGCCTTGAAAAGCACATATTTTCATTATTTATCCTCGTTGAGAAACATCTCCCCCCCCCCCCTTCCATCTGAATATCGAAGGAGAAGGGGGTGGGGGGAAGGGGGCAAGGGCACTTCTGGCTTTGGGCCTGATGTTGATATAGCTTGCGTTACTATTACTTGTAGCTCCTGTGTATTTAGTAGACATCATTTGGTTATATTTGCTGTATGCTTATGTTCGCGATAATGTGCATTGTGATTGTAGCTTACATTGTATGTGTGCCGCTATTTTCTAGGCGTTTTGTATAAATGCAATTACTACACACTGTTTTTTTATTTTGAAGCTATGACACCAACACGTTAAGGGGAAGTAGCACTGCGCACTTCATGTCATAAGTGCAAGCATGTATAGGTGAAGGAAAAGTTCTTCCTGTGACGTCGTATTCACGTTATTCTGACATTTATACTATATAAACTGGCTATATGTTTCTAGTGCAGGGATCAAACTGACTGGCACCAGAAGTAAAGTCATTGGCAAGTGGATTAAACTTGGTGGTCCTTGAATTAAACTCACTGGCACGTGGCCTTATTGAGTTGGCGCTTGGATTAAATGTTTCGCACATGGATTAAATAGCTCGGCGCTCAGATTATTTCAATGGCGTGCAGATTATTTAGGCTGACACTTCGATCAAAGTGAGCGGGAAAACCTGTAGGTGAGTTGCAAAACTGAACGATGTTGTGCGGCGCCGCCGCTTCCAGCGACAAATGTGGCGCTGCTGTCGCATCCGGATTCACTCACTCCATGCTCGCTCGTGTCACTCCCTTAACCTCCGTCCGCTGTGGATGTTGCAGTGCGTCGCTAGCCGTGGAGGCTTCTTTCTCCGCGAACAGTTTTGTGCTTTAGCATGCTCTGTTCTGCTTTGAATGTGTTGCGTGTTTTCATCATGCCCACATGTTGCGTTCCCGGTTGTACGAGTGGCTACAGGCAATGGGAGACACCACGACATTTCTTTTGTGCCCCGCATGTACCTGAGAAGCGAAAGGCATGGGGCCACGCTATTACTCGTGCGGATAAGAAAATGCCCAGCACATTACGTGTGCGTGATACGCACAGGTAATTTCACCGGGCAGCAGATATGCCACTGTTCTAACTAGTTCGTGCATTCATGTTTCCAGCACTTACACCGGCGCGAACAGGAGAGCCTCGATTCACACAAAATCTTCAGTGATCGGTTTACCAGTGATGAAGGAATGAACTCTGGAGTTGCTCAGAGCACGCTGCACCATAATCCATTTCTGAGAACGCGTGAACTCCGACCAGCGCATGCAAATCGAGTTTACTTACGCTCTAATGTGCACCGTCTATGCCTGTTGGTTGTCTGTTTCGGGAATTCTGATGCGAGTCGCTGAAATTTCACTACTGCCATCACCTCCTTCGCGTTCATTCACGTTTGTGGTATTTACTCACAACGCGACAAAAACTGCCAGCCTTCTGTATGGGCGCATTCACAAACGTGAGTCATCTCGCTCGCCGAGTAAGATACTGGGCGAGCGCGACCTTAGCGGCACCTGAAGGGAAGTGGAGGAAATGTATACCCGTGAATCTTTCCGCCAGGTGAGAAACGAGCGCTAGTGTTTAAGCGGAACTTCACCAGCTGACATGTATTGTCGTTAGAGTTTTCTTTTCCTGCACTCGGGGTCACTGCCCGAACATTGCTGAGCTCCTTGCTTCCTAGCAAGGCGAAGTCACCCCCTTTAAATACGCTGCCTACACGTATTGCTTGATAGTTCGTGTCGTGGGTCAATCAGCGCCTTTCCATGAGACTCGATGGTCACGCTGAAACACCGTACGGTATAACGCTTCATGATTATTTCCCGAAAAGCGACGCTGCTCCCAGTGCACACTTGACAACCATGGCGAAAATGGGAGTGGCACTTGTCACAGGCAGGCAGCTTCATCGAAGTAACGTGCCAGTGGCTGGCGTGGAAGAGCACTTTAGGCTTTCAGTATTTCTGGCCTCTTCTGGACTATTTCATAGATCACTTCAATGAGTGCTTTAAAAGGCATCGCACACCTTGAAGACGCTTTGTTCCCGTCTCCCACAAATTATTCTCGAATCTGCCACTCTTCCCACTTCGGAGCAGTTTACTGATGTGTACTTAAACATTATCTCAACTTCAGCCTTGCAAGGGAAGTTAGCAGTATAGGCTGCGAAATGAAAGCGAGAGAAGCGAGGAACGCTGTGCATGTGTGCAATGCAAGCGGTTGCCAATTGCCCAGAGGTATTCTTACCAAACGTGCGTCATCTTCTAAAGATTCAGGCAACTCTGCCGGTGAGCATAGCTGAAGCAGAACGCTTTTTTTCACCGCTGGGATGCCTAAAGTTGTACCTGAGAGCTACAACAACAAATGAAAGATTGTTTGGTATCGCTCTTTGAATATCCACCATGAAATACATGTCCGCCCGGAAGACATTCTCTCTATTCTTTAACGGGAACGCAGACGGCTTCAGCCGAATCTTTGAGTAATATCAACCATAGACACCTGCTCAATTAAAGATAAAAGTTAGCTGAAGGTATTCTTGAATTGAGATGTTCTGAACAACAGTAAGAACATAGTTGTTAATGATCAATTGATGTGGTTTAACATCCAAAAACCACTAATTAACTACGAGAGATGCCGTAGTGCGGTGCTCCGGAAATTTTACTACTTTGGTTTATTATATGCACCGAAATCAATGTGCGTGGGCCACAAGAATTTTCGCCTACATCATATACGACGGAGATTTAATCCCGCTACCTGCGGGTAAGCAACAGAGCCCCATAACCACTGGACCACCTTGGCGGGTAGTAAAGAAGATGGTTTTGGTAAAATCAGTATGCGCTACTTTTCGTCCAGATAAGGAAGCAAGTTCAACTGTATGAGACATATTGCTGAAAATCACTTTGACAGCATGGCAGAGTGATTACGTTCCCTCCCGTTGCCTACTACTTGCTCTTCATTCGCCCCGCCGCGGTGGTCTAGTGGCTAAGGTACTTGGCTGCTGACCCGCAGGTCGCGGGATCAAATCCCGGCTGCGGCGGCTGCATTTCCGATTTAGGCGGAATCGTCACAACATTACCGCCTCCACAACAAATCTGAGCACACGGGCCTGAGGCCCGTGTGCTCAGATTTGTTGTGGAGGCGGAAATGAGGCCCGTGTGCTCAGATTTGTGCTGTGGGGTTTAACGTGTGCTCAGATTTGTGATGTGGGGTTTAACGTGTGCACGTTAAACCCCACATATCAATCAATCATTGCTTTTCATTGGTACCTTTCACTTGCAGACGTGGTTAGCAGATACGAAAGGTGTGAACGGCAATGCAACAACCCAAATTTGCATCTGGCAATTCTCGCTTATTTTGGGTGACATATGGGGCATATAATGCGACATGTAATGCGCAGGATAATCTTTGTTTCATTGAAAAATAGAATCAACAATATTACGCTATGTCCGTTTTGCAGCGTGAGACATGGCTTGCACACAGTTTCTTTCATTTCTTGTAAAAAATTATGATTGCTTTGTGTATTGCTCGTAATTTTACGCCATAAAAAGCCTACCCACGTTTCTCCTTTCTGGGAATTTTTCATCATGCGCCATGTCGCTATAGTTACATAAATTGCTCTGTGTGCCCTTCTAGTAATGTCAATATAGAGAAACGAAGAGATGAAGCGAATCGAAATATATAGTTTGTCGTATATTTTTTCAGCTTTATGTTCCTTATTTTCGCGCTGTTTGCCACAGTGCTTAACAATAAAGCTTGTGCTCGCTATATACAGTTGCCCGCAATGCATTTTTCATTACGCTGCTCGAAGGTTATGACCGCCATCTTTTTATTTATGTGCCTAAGTTACACGATGAGTATTTTAGTAGGCCTTTCTAAGGCTGTGATCAGCCTGCACGCTTGTCTGGGTTGCACCTTCGTCACAAGCAAACACTTCGGAGTGCACTAGACGTTAGTGCACAATAAACATATGTATAAATATGTTGTCCACTCGCATACAAGCCAAGTTAGGTGTATAAACCAAATATTCTGTCGTGCGCGTGCGTGTGTGTTTAGATGTTAGCAGAAAGTCCGGAGGTTCAATAGAAATGTTGTTCCTTGGCTTGAGTATATCTTAGCACACGTACGATGAGTCACACTGTAATATGCTTAAACGTGGCCTATCAGATCTTGGAACTGTGTCTGGCTATTTCCAATAAAACGAACCTCTGCCTATAGAAAATTATTGTAGTAATCGAATCCGGCGAGGTCTGTTCCGGCGGGTACGAGGACCACCTCTAGAGCATTAATCCCGTCGCCGAACCAACTTGAAATACTCGCGGCCGAGATTCCTGCCCAGAATCTCACAGATAGTTAAGACTTGAGAAACACTGCGACGCGTTTTTTCATATGCAGTGATGCCACTTAGAAACCAAAATTTGGAGCAATTTTATGGAGCACAAAAAATTAGAATTTGGAGCATTTTGGAGCACCGAAAAGTCAATTTTGGAGCAGTTTGAAGCAACCGGTATCAGTTTTCAAGGTTGTCCAATACGGTGAGAAATGCATAGCAAAACAAGTTTTCACAATATTCTGAGAAACTTTGTTTGGAACGCATTTCGGAAATTTTGTTATCATTTTGTCATCATTTTATTTTATGTTTTGTTATCATTTTTGCAGTTTGTTATCCAGAGGAAGCCGCTTGATTAGATGTCTCGCAGTAGAAATGTAAAATGCCTGTGCACTTGTCCTGAAGCTGTTCTTCACTTGGGGATCCCAGTTACGCATTTATTTTTCAGTGTCGGATCCGATTTCCAAAACTTGCTTCCGCCCTTCTGGTGACCTGACATCAAGTTGTTTCAACTCACTGCCAGACAAGTTGCAGTAGGCCTCATGCCTCATAAAGCGGCTCAGCAGCTTTTTTACTGGCCCAATACACTGTGTACAATGTGAACAAGGGGCTCTTCTTTTTGGAAAACGGTTTGAAATTCATTGCTGTCATTGCTTCCATTGCTGTCAACATCTTCCAGCACCGATGCATTAACGCTGGTTGTCCAAGCTGTGGAAAAGAGAGAAGATATGGAAGATTAAAACACAAATCCGACGGCGAAACAAGAAATGCTCACTTAAAAAATTAAGGCCCTGTCATTCGCACCATGCACAAATCTAGGTCCGGCACGAGCCGATCATGTACAGGTGCCCCACGTGTCAGCCAGCCAACATCTAACAGCATTTATCAAGCACAGGCGGCCGGCTTTTCGGAGCATTATCACGGCGCGGAGAAGGTGAAACTATAGTGACAATTGCCACATGCGGGCGAAGTTGCCGTCACCACGAGCACACTGCAGCGTGAGCGCGCGCTATCTCTTCTCTGCGCAAGAATTACGCGCAACTCCATAGATAGACTTGCTACAAAATGTTTATCTTCACTTGAAGATGCCTGCTCAAGGTCAGTCGTGCAAGCCTAGAATGCAACTACGCGTGTCATCGGGCATATCGCATTGCCACTCAGTGCTTCTGAATACAATAAGAACATAAATGCGTCATTCCCACGAAAGCAGCCTTTTCCCACGAAACCGACCTTTTACGGTTAACGACGGCCGCAAAAATATTAGCGGCAGTCGCTAGAGCATTAATTTGGGAATATCTGCGCCATACAATTGCATCTTTTCACAGATAAGATCCGGATCAAGATCTGAAAGCGAAAAAGGCTTTACCATTTTTAGCGCGCAAATAGACGGTGCTTTTTGCGCGCTGCGGTCCATCCAAGCAGTACCAACTTCGCCACGCTCACACGCCACACTTAAGAGAAAATGTCAATAACAGAAACTTACCTTTCTTCATCGCATCATATCCCACCGCTGACAGCACACGCGCGTAGTAGTAATGAAGAGTCGTGCAACAGTCGTTGGTGCTGGCGAGCCGAGGCAGCAGCAATCGATTCACCAGTGCACTGTCCGCTTCACTTGCGGAGCTACAGCAGCACTATCTCCGCTATCACTCAATCCGTACTGCGCATGTTGCCGCTAGATGTCCTCCGCTGCACTTCTCATAGTTTTATCGTTGCCATGGGGGAATGGGTGCCCTCAGACCCCGCTGTAGGTTGTGGTAGCGGCGCTCGCTGACACCACCAAGGCCCGCGAGAGCCATTCGGCGCACTTTGGCGCAATTTTCGAGATTTTTATCAGAATTGCGCTAGCATTCTCGTTTGTATCAGTTTGGCGCATTTGGCGCAGGAATGGAATCACTGCATATGCAGACATTATTCGCTGTAAAAGCGCTCAGCAATGATATTGTGATAGTAGCAGTGCTTGGTTTCTAAATCATGTCAGCGCGAAGCAACAAAAAAAAAATAAGTTGCGTAAGTGGCAGTGTGCCTGGTGTTGGACGAAAATTTTCGCGGGGAAGGGAGAGGGGGTTAAACCACCCGCCTGGATATGCCACTGGGCACAACGCTTGCAATCTGGAAACTGTCTACACCGAGGAACGGCGAGAACAGACATTGGCAATGTGAGTGCGAAAGCCTTAATAAAAAACGACATCGGCAGCGTTTTTCCGATGAATGCAATGGATAATTGGTATGGTCCCATCGCGAAACGATTGATTGATTGATATGTGGGGTTTAACGTTCCAAAACCACTATATGATTATGAGAGACGCCGTAGTGGAGGGCTCCGGAAGTTTTGACCACCTGGGGTTCTTTAACGTGCACCCAAATCTGAGCACACGGGCCTACAACATTTCCGCCTCCATCGGAAATGCAGCCGCCGCAGCCGGGATTCAAACCCGCGCCCTGTGGGTCAGCAGCCGAGTACCTTAGCCATTAGACCACCGCGGCGGGGCCCCATCGCGAAACGAACCCAAGCGTTCTGCGGGGCAATCATTATTCTAGCACAGAGCCATGCCAGGTCTCGGAACTGCTTTGGAAACAGAACCTATGCAGGTGTTACGTTCATGGAACGCGAATTGTGGTGTCAGTGTTGGATATCCAATTTTATAAACATTACATATGTACTCCCATGATGCAGCCATCACGTCGGGTTACCGTCATTTGTAGTTAAACACTATTCACTGAAATTTATTCATGATCGGTGTCGAGGACTATACCATTCTCGTGAGCACAAGTGCGAGAATTCGTTTTTTTTTATTTCAGTATATGCCCCAATTTTTTGTTAAATCGAGTAGCATTGTAAAGCGCACAAAGGAATTCTGAGGCACAGTCTTGTATCTTGTAAACACGTTCGCTGCTTGGTAGGTTTAGCTGACTCTAAAGCACCACAGTTGTCACAGTCTGGGTCAGTGGTCAAACCAAGGCGACACATGTAGCTATTGGTGAATGCTGCGTTGAAGGGAATTGACGATAAATCTCAGCCTTCCATGGCCCTCCTGCTCTTGCTTACCCATGTTTTTGTTCGCATCGTTACGCAACTGTAAACAACTGGTTGTGTAAAACATATCTGACTACTCCACATATATTTGTGCTTACAACATTTGTGCATATCTTTAGCGTCATTTCGTAACATTTCGCTGGATTAAAGATATTACGACACAGTTATACCTCTCTTCCGCATGCTTCTCATAACACCGATTCTCAAGGTACGTGGAATCTGTGAGAGAGAGAGAGAGAGCTCTTTAATGAAAATCAGAGGGTTCTGCCGGCGTATGTGCGGCGCTTACATGCTACTCTGTATATGGGAAGGGGAGGGCAAAAACGTCAAGCCTGAGCGGAATTAAGGCGCAGCACAGTCACAGCGAAAGCTAGAAGAGCGGCTTTTCAGAGTCTTTTCTTAGCACTCATAGGGTAACTGCTGCAAGCACACTTGCTTGATACCCACTACGGCATTAATATTAAAAAATTTAGGACAGTGGGCCGGCATTCACTATGCTATTTTTTGTCATTCTTCTGAGAAGCGTGGTATGCTAAACTATTGTGAGTAATTTTGTGCCAATCGTTCATGCAGTGGCTGACGACGATGAGAATTCATGCCTGAAGTAGGTTATGCGCTAGTTAATAGCTGAAACAAAAACAAGCTTCTTAATAGGTTGGCGCATTGGACGACCCACTTGTCATGCTATTTGCATTGTGTGACGACTGCTTGTTCTTTTGCTGTTTTAAAACGCTTTTTCAGTCGTATTAACGCGATGGCTTTCCCGTCATCAAGCCTGCCTAAGGCAAGTTTGCCAACAAGTCCCAAGCACGGGCTTGGCTCAGTGGTAGAATACTGGGCAGGCACCCAGCTGACCCTGGCTCGTGCCCCGCTGTGCCATTGGTATACTAGATTTTTGTTTAAAATTTTGTACGATGTGGTTACGGGCGGCGGTGGCGGCGGTGGACAACTATGCGGCACTGCACGAGACTCGAGTTGTGATCTCATAACAGCTTTCGCTGTAGAAGGTTCTAGGAGGAGGAGGAGGGCACGAAAACAGAAGGGGAAATTTGGCCTCGTATCTACATGTTTCACTGCAAATGTCGTCAAAGACGATAGTCTTGCGTGTGGAGAGGGTGAAGGAAATGTTTATTTGATGTTCTGTGCGAGAAAATCGGTGAATTGTATTCTAGAAGCGCTGCGCTAGAGAGTTTAGATCAGAGCAGCGAAGGCGAACGAGCGCACCGAGGCACGTTAGACACGAGCGCCATTTCGTACTTTGAAAACGAAGGAATACGTGCGCGCCCACGGAAAAAGATGCGCGCATGTCTCGGAGGCAATAAGGTGTAGAGGCAATAAGGTGCCACCACCGTGTCGTCTTAGCAAAGCGTTGGAAGCAGTTGCCTTTCTGAGCATCGCGTTGCGCAGCGTGATAAACGCTACGGCCCTTAGGATTAATTATGTATGCCTTCTCTGTGTAAAGCCACACATAGAAAATATTAAGGTGTTGTTATAGTGCCTCAGATATGCGCAATAATTGATTTTTAATTGAGAATCGCACAAGTATGAACGCTGAAACTTGAGCAGTATTGGTGGGCGCTGCGGAAAGGGTTGGCGGTTTGACGTATCGTTTGGTGCCGTTTAGGATATCGTTAAAACAGACAGACAGACGCACTCACACGCGCACACGCACGCAGGCAGGCAGACCAAAATTTTGGCGTTGAAGGTCCCCAGAAAGCCTATCGTCTTTAAAAAGAGAACATGGGTAGTGATATCTGCTTGTCTCGAAATGATGGTGAGGATGTGTGTTGCGTTACAGTTTATCTATTGAGTTAATGTCCTCAAGGTATCTGACAGAAAAAATGTTTCCAAGATCTAGCAGTTCGTGGGAAATTGAGCCTAATCTACTTTTAAAGAAGATTTTTCTTCTTTGTGTGCCGGGCAATCTAACAAAATAGGTTCGGCTGACTCAAAGCACCACAGTTGTCACATTCTGGGTCACTGCTCAAACCAATGCGGCACATGTAGCTATTGGTGAATGCGGTGTTGAAGTGAAGTTGACGATAAAGTGTCTCGACGTGACTAAGAAGGTGATGCGGATATCTTAGTTTTATGTCAGGGTCTATGGAGCAGAGATAAAGGTCTGGAGGCGAAATATTCCACAATTGCTTCCTTTCTCGGTTGGCCTACTTCGTCGCCACTGTTGACGCATCTGATTTATTGAAATATGTTTTTTAATACATTCCTCTGCGAGCAGATAGATCCACTTTCTCATTTCCACGTATACCACAACGTTTGTTAAATGAAATAGCAGTATAAAGCGCACAAAGAAATTATGGGATCATGTAAACACGTTCGCTGCTTGGAATACTTTAGCATAATTTCTGCTCTGCGCGGAAGAGAGAGAAAGAGAGAGAGAGAAAGAATAGAAGAAATATAGGGAGTTTAACTAGACTGCGTGGAAGCGTGTTCGTTTTGCAATGGAGCTGACACCAAAAGCTCTACGCATGTGACTATTGAATGTGTATAGCCCACTCGCGGCGTTCTTACAGTCTGTTGTATGTGATAAAGGCATTTATCAACCTACTAAGATGAATAATACGTCATTAAGCGTATAGACTATATACTTATTAAATATTTGTGTCCGCATTTTATTAATCGAAAGGTGTGCTATACAGAAATATAGAAAAAAAGAACATTTATTTTGTTGTGCGTTGGCGCAATAACGGCGCTGTCGCTCAGTGTTATCTCACACGCGAGACATCACCAAGGCAAGAAGTCGCGCTTGTATGTCACGCGACTTCAGTCTGCCTCTTCGGAATTATACCGCACCGCCCCAATGAAATGAAATGGTTTCACCGAGCGGGATAGCGTCGTTTGGCTGAGATCCCCGCCTTCGCCGCTTAAAAGGGTTGCCGGAAGTGCTTCATTGCGCCCCCGAGACGCCGAATAAATTGCTTCGCAAGGACAGAAACCTCGAACAAGCAGCTCTCCCAAGGAGGCAGCAGCGTATGTGGGCACACAAACCGTACAGCCGGCCTAGTCGGTAAGACAGCGTACAACCCAAAACCATGGGCGAGGCAGAATTCGAGCGAGCATTAACGGGAACCGAGTAGCAAGGATAATGCGCCAACTGTCGTAGATTAATCAAGCAAAAACGTCATCTGTGTCTGAAGGTGTGAGCACGGCATCCCATGGAGTACTCGTGGTCGGGCCGGCAGCTGCCTTACAGCACCGAAATGGGTGGCATCGAACCGCTCTTTTACGTCGCGTTCACTGTCCTCCTAGTCCCCGGAGTCGTCGGCAACCTCTCTGTGCTGCTTATGACCTGCTGTTACGGCCGTCTGCGAACGCCCGCTGGCATTTACGTCGTCAACGTAGCCGTCGCCGATCTACTGTTCTGCGTCTTCGGTGTGCTTCTTGATCCCGTGTCAGTGCTCTTGCGTCGATGGCCCTTCGGCGAAACGCTCTGCTACGCGTGTTCCTTTTCCGAGCACCTTGGAGTGTTTGTGCACGGCTACACGCTCGTTGTGGCTGCAGCTCGCGTTGTCGCCGGCAGGCCTCCCAAGCTGAGATCTTGCCACCTGAGCAACGCCGGAGTCTGGTTTCTGGGCACAGTCGTTTGCTTGCCTCAGATGTTGTTCGTCGATGCGCGCGCGCTGACTGTCCACGGGCAGTGCATTGTCAAGTGGCCCGCGACGGTCAAGACGCCGGAGCCGTTCATATCCTTCGTGGCGCTGGCCGCGTCTCCGTTCCTGCTGGTGAGCGCCTTGTACGCCTGGCTTCGGGCCTCCCTGTGGCTAGGCAGAGGGCGTGCGTTTGTGCGCCGGGCGAGCATAGTGCGCGTTTTTTGGCTCATGACACTGCTGCAGCTTCTTTGTAGGATGCCTCTGCACGTCACTCGGTGCCTGCTTGGTGTGTGCGCAGCCATGAGGGCGACATCACACATCACCGTGGTGGTACTTGCCACACGAGCAATCGCCGCCGCGGTCGTCTGTTTCACCGCAGCCTTCTTTTTCGACCTTAGTGCAAAGCAACTTTCGAGAAGGGTGAGGCAGGTTCCCTCGGTTGCAGTAAACTATGGCTCATGAGGGAGTGGGCTTTGCAGTGCCCTGCTGGAACTGCGTTATCTACACTGCGGTTTCCAAACACTCAGTGTTATGAATAAAGTAGAACTTTTTACAGAGCAATGACTTAGATACGAACAGAGAAGAGTCACGGCGCTGCCACCAACCATCTTGCCCAACTCGTGGTTCTGGCCATGATTGATTATATATATATATATATATATATATATATATATATATATATATATATATATATATATATATATATATATATATATATATATATATATATATATACTCATTGTGTATGAACTACCTTACATGCCTATATAATCTAACTCCTCGATTGTAAATACAATGTCAAACAGCGTGTAGCTCTTTCGTGTGAAGACTGATGCCTTTGCGTAACGTGTATTTTTTTGCTTTTCATATTTTTTACTCATCTGCTTGATTCGGCACTATATGTTGTGCACTTATTCGAAAAATTTGTAGTTTAAGAAAACAAATGTTACAAAATATTGACACAGGCTGTGCTGTCTTGATGCAGGCCTGAATAGGTCCCTCTCAAACGTTACGTATGAGAAACGAGCAAGAAGTGAGACCATTGACAGAAAAAAATAAACGTTGGAGCTTCACTATAGTCCTAAAATCTGCTGAAAAATAAAAATCAAGGTGCGTTGTGTACATGATCTGGCATCACCCCCTCATCAACAAAGGGATGATGCCGAATTGTTGGCGTTGATATATGAGGGTCTTTGTATATCATGTAGTAAAACAATTTGCTGGCCGATTTTATTCAAGTCTTTTGAAGCAGCGCGAAACGGACACTTACTGCTGCAAAGTGGGCCCGTTGGTAGGGCATATTTGAATAACAATGACAGCGCAACGATGCAGGACACTAGAAGGCATCAAAGATACACACACAGCACTACACACTTCCAACAAAAGTTTTATTAACTACTGAACAGAGGGCCACCTCAGCGGCGTTGGTTACGAGCCCATTCAAGCCAGCGTCGCCAAGCAATGGTCACGCTCTAGAAGACATTGCTATTCCTGACGGCGGACGTCAGATCCTGGTGCTGGGACTAAAACTACGAGAACCAAGCCAAAGCGTCTTCCCGTTGTGTGCTAAGCAACTCCACACGTTCTCGAAGACGCGGCCCTGCGGTTGAACTCTGAATGTGTGGGCGCCTTATTGCGGTGTAACAGAATGAGTCACAAATTACCTTTGAAATATGTATAATCACATTTTAAAGATAATTCCTTATGTGTTTTAATGGTAATTAAGGAACGATGATTTGACCTGTTCTTGCATGATTCATTCAATTGAAAAACTATGGGTGTGGTGATAGAGTATTTACTGAGCATGCGAGGATCAGTCTGAAGAAGGTGAAAGTTGAAACGGTGCAATTGGGCAAAAAGTTGAACTTTGATAGCATGTTGGAAAGTATTGAGACAAGAACGAATCACTACTTAATCTTTGGTGCCACAACACATAACGATGGTGTTCCGTTTCGAACGATAATTTCCAAGAAATGGACATAACAAAAATGAGTCTATTCTCACCTTCGTTATAAGATTGATGTCGTCGAACTTAAGGACTCTGCGAAAAGCTCGGAAGGTGTGCTTCCATTTGTACGCAATAACTTGGATTCGGACTTGAAAGCGTGTTCTGTGGGCGTAAAACTCCTTTATTATTCTTTGCTGCAGTCCGAATTGCTTACTGTCCTCGAGGAGAGGCATCGATCATTTCGGAACTGCGTTTTTTTAGCTGCAGCAGACGCCACTGCTGAATTTTTTTAGAGCTACTAACTGTTTACCTCCATTCTACCTTCTTTTAGAATGATGGTAGCCCGCACCTACGAAAGCCAGGAGTTCTCAAAGGGTCTTGCTTGATTCCTGTTCTTAGCAACCTGTATTTAGCAGAGAAGGATGGAGCCGAGGCGCTGTGCATTCAAGGCATGATTGGTATTAGAATTCTTAGATATGTGGAAGATTTTATTTTTTTTTCTTGACTGTACATAAGAACGTTGTCAGAATGAGTGTGTCAGTGTTTCCAGCCACTCACGCGGCTGCTTCAGTCTACTTGAACTAACGTGTAAAGTTCCCATTTGTAAAAAATAAGGTGGCTTGTCAATACCTTGGTTTTTGATGACAACCGCGTGGGCTGGTGACATCACCCTAGAGCTAACAAGCCACTTCTGGCATTTTATTCATTCGAAAATCGTAAAATGAAAAGAGGCCAAACTTTGCTTTAAGAGCGCTAACCAAGTGACTGGCTACCCAAGTGTTGTCCTCGTGTTCTGCCGCAAGAAGCATGCTCGAACAGGTAGAGTGTGGCTGAAGGCGTGTCTTCAGCGAGAGAAGAATTTAGTCTTTAGAAGATTGTTCTGTGCATTCATTGTTTTTCTCACAACCTAATGAAATAGCACAGTGAGCAGACTTCAACGTATTTTTTTGTTGGCGCCCAACAAACAAGTTATATAGTCTATGCCGGAGAACGAATCAAATTCAGTGACGAAACCTATATGTGCGAAATGACACACTACATATCCAGCTTTTCTGGACACCAGTGGTTTAGTTCGCGTGAACGACACAACGGTGCGTATCGACCTTAAAGAATTAAAAAGTCCCGCCATGACGTACGCAGTGCCGTAGCAAGGAATAAAATATAATAAAAAATGGCGCACACACCCTGTGACTGTCGCTTCACCTCAGTGCGCAGATAAGAGTGTAGTGTGTCGGCGTTATCTCGACGACGGCGACTGGCAATGAACTGACAGTTTTAAATGCGAAGCATTTCTTAGCGAACTTCGGCGACTTTGAGCGTATCTATCTATCTATCTATCTATCTATCTATCTATCTATCTATCTATCTATCTATCTATCTATCTATCTATCTATCTATCTATCTATCTATCTATCTATCTATCTATCTATCTGTCTGTCTGTCTGTCTGTCTGTCTGTCTGTCTGTCTGTCTGTCTGTCTGTCTGTCTGTCTGTCTGTCTGTCTGTCTGTCTGTCTGTCTGTCTATCTATCTATCTATCTATCTATCTATCTATCTATCTATCTATCTATCTATCTATCTATCTATCTATCTATCTATCTATCTATCTATCTATCTATCTATCTATCTATCTATCTATCTATCCTTTTACGTTTGGGTGCTCTCGTGGTCACCCCCTAAACTTGGCATGAACCAAAATTAGCATGGGAGGGTAAGATGGTTTGACGAATATGACGCGCTGGTCAAGACATGAATAATGTCACAATCTCGTCGCTTACGTCGTCAAACACTTCCCGCCATACAGAATACTTCACCGCAGTCAGGTTTAGAAGATTAGTTATCCACACAGAATGGAAGCAATAACAACGTGGGCAGAATGTAATCATCTAAAATACCCATGGAAACCGCAGTGGAGCCATTCTCGACAATCAGAAGTGACGATCATCAGATTTCGATGTCATGTCCCCCCATTAAACTTTTACTAGTACAGAGCTGGTCTGACGATACCACCCCTCTGCTAATTCTGCGGAGAACTGGAAAATATTACACATTACTTTTTGTCATGTTCAAGATACTCTAGAATCAGAACTCGACTTCTATTACTCTGTTTGCAAAAATAGGCTTAACCTTATCAGAGGAAAATGTTCTAAGCTCCGGTGCCTCAGGCTTGAGATACTGCCACAATGATGCCTTTGAGGCCGTGTTTAATTTTATTAAAACTACTCAAGGAATACAATTTTAATCAGGTATTTGAAATTATTCGTGATTTCATTAGGTTAAAACCTAAGTTTTCAAAATAGTTCGCATCAGATTAATACGGCAGTCTGGTATACAAGCTCAAAAGCATATCACTTGTAGTTAAATTGAATATTTTACGTATAATTGCCATTTTATTTCTTTATTTTTGGTTTTTATTGCAAAAGCTTACCTAAAATAACAGTTAACCGTCTCAATGCTGCATTCTTGGTCAATCCCGCAAAATAGGTACGTGCCATCTATTTAGGTAAACAAACAAACAAACAAACAAGCAATTAAACAAAAAACACCAGATGGTCAAAACTTCCGGAGCCCTCCACTGAGGCGTCTTTCATAATCATCTCGTGGTTTTGGAACGTAAAACCCCAGATAATATTATGCTGATCAGGAAAGCAGCGTAGACTAAAGAACGAACGTGTTCAACGAGTGTTGTTTCGCCTCACAAAAATAGCCCTGAATTTTTGCATGCCTCTCGATTGTATTATGGACGCGCTTCCACCATTTTCACTCAAGAATGGCAAGCGTGTTATCAGCACCAAACACTTTTTTTTTGTTTGCTTGATAGGAAAGTTGCGAGCGCTGAGAATTCAAGGAACGAAACGCAAGCCACCAGCAAAGAAGCCGATGGAAGACATATCTCTGTCGTGACTATGGCAACTACGTGCAGCCACACCTTGTCACGCTTCCGGGTCTGCTTGCCTGCCTTTTCGCCGTCTGTTCCGCGTGTTCCGCGTCTGTCCCGCGCCGCCGTAGCAGCTGACCTCCGTCAGTCAGCGAGGCAAAGGGGGAGGGTATTTGTACACGTATTATTTACGCTCGTGCGTTTATTTGTATATGTGCGTGTCTACACATACGAAACTTTAAAATTTTGAAAGGAGTCCAAACACCCCCTCCTCCGATATGTTGGCCAGTGAGGAGTACATCACAGCAACGTGCCATCTCTGACACGTCAAAGCGCCAAATCCTCACCCGCCATTGGGTTCACAGTGTGCAGTGGTATAGCTGACATAAATCTATCTTGGAGCCCTTTGACAACATTTTCTACTAAATCAGAGAGTTCACGGGGTGAAATAACGGAAGCGTCAATATTTTCAGCGGGTGGTAACATCTTTTGCGATCTTAAATATCTGAAGATCGCTTTTTGTATTTAGCTCTAGAAAGATAATTAGTTTCATATTATAGCCATATTTTGCTGTACTTATTGTGCGTTTGAAGTCTGCTGCTGTGAATTCATAATCACACCAATGTTTTGGAAATCGGTTGACCAGCAGTTGTTTCCATGCAGCTTTACGTTTTCTATCGCTCTTCATGCACTCTTGAATCCACCATGGACTAAAAGAACCTCTTGTGGCCGCGTT